ATATATGCATAAATTTAAAATAAATACATGTTTCGTTCTGATCCTAGGGGTCGGCGGAGGTGATATAATTACCAGCGACTCGCCGTCCGTTTGTTTATAATGCAATGTGGTTTTGTAGCGAGCGGTTCACCAAATACAGCCAACACCCTTTGCAAGTTAATGCACCAGGCTTTTAACAGTATTTTAGTGTTTAGCGTCTAGATTCCAACAAGGATTCTCCAAAGTTGCAGATGCAGCAAATAAGTTTCTAGGCATCTGCTGAATATCACAGTGCTACTATAATGACGCTGTGGTAATAAATCACATATTATAATCCCAGCTGACAAACCATGTGCAACTGGTGCAAACATTAATGTGTCAGCAGTTAGAACAATCAATAGGTGCAAATGCGAGAGAATTTGACACTATTTAGACGTAATTACATGTTTAGTAGCAGAAATAGATCCACATCTATTTTTTAAGAATGATCTAGTCTCTCCTGGTCTCATTGCCCATATATGAAAAAAATGGCATCAAGTAAGTTGACTCTTCACTTCTCACGCTACGCTACGAACGAATTAAATGACCTTCCTCTGCGGAAGCGTCTGCCGACTGTGACGTACGACCACCGACGATGACGCTTGTCCATCGGGGGACCATGTATCGTTTTAAGGGTAAATGTACGGGGACATCTATGATGAGTGAAATACACCTAACATGTGCGTACAATTACTGGAGTTGGAGACATATACATAAATATACCAACGTAAAAAAATTGAGATATACCCTCCCCCACTTCCAGCAATCACCAATCCCCAATTATTAACCCCCTTAATTTTTTTTCCGAAAATGATAGTTCTCACTATGGATACAATACAATAAAATTATCCTTACCTCCACGCTAGAAGTAGGGTCACATTCTAAAAGCAGCGGTGAAAGCACTTCATGAGACAAAAGAACTTATTGAGTTACATCTTCGGCGCGAATATACCGCGCAGAAACCCATGATAAAAGTGTTTAAGTTTTTTCGTGAGCAATTTTAGTCTAGTCTAGTAGTTACTAGACTCGACAAAACTCAGTATTTAGTACAGATATAAGTATATATCGAAACAGCGACTTCAATATCTAGTTCCTGTATAATCCGGAACACTTCTGAAATATCTTCCCACAGATGCGATGCCAGATAATAACTCTAAACACTTTATTAGAAAGTATGTGGCTAGAAGTTTGTATGTTAATTGACCAGTATAGTCTAATCATATTACCCGAAAAAATCCCTGGTTTACGAAATAATTATAGAAGTCTGGTTTTATTGATGCAATTGTTCAAGGGGGTATTTAAAATAGGGACGCATAAAATGGGTACACCAATTTTTGTGGGAAAACTTTTTATCCGACAACAAAGAATGAGAAAACGTGATTTTGGGATTCAATGGAAAGTGTTGGTATGAACTGAAAAACCCTTCAAATAAGACTTTTAGGTATTTATGGGACGTACAGGATGAGACCACATGTAGAAATATCCCACTAAGAGTAAAAAAGTTATGGCCGAAAACCGAGGCAAAATGCAGGTTTTGGAGTTTCACGCAGCTACTTGAAACTCCTCAAATCCGTAGGCTTCATACTTCTATATAACCACAACAGAATTGGAGTCGATTTGTAAAGTAGTTTTTGAGAATTCCTAATTGTTTATCCCAAAACACCTGTCTTCCGGCCATCAGTACTAGTTTATTGAGCAATATACAGGGTTCGTTCAAAGGGCATTTTATAGTAAAATACACGAGCTTACCTTGCCGACATAAATCACAAGCCATTCCAAAAGATAATTGTTATTTTTATGCGAAAAACGAAGGGTTTCGTTTTTTTTATAAACAAATTCAAACATTTCGTTTTAGACTAGTTAGTATATAGCATGTGCTGAATGGCTGCATTACTGATGACTGCACGAATTTGTCAGATAAGCAGGTCACTTAATCCAGTTTCTTTACAAAAAAGTGTAATTCCTTGACCTTTTTTCTAAAAGAATTAATATAGTATACGTCTGTTTTCGAAATATCGTACGATTAAAACGACTGTGAGTTCAAAATGTTGGAAAATAAACTCGAGAAAAAAAATATTAGACAAATATCAACCAATTGTAGCGAACTGATCGTCTGAAAAGTTAGGCAAAATGCTCGGTATTAGTCCCTAATATATTATTTAAAGTTTCAGCATTGTATTTTGTATAGCCGTCAAGAATATTCTAATTACTTGTAACAGATTTGATATGCGTCCAACGTTCGCTTGACATTTGTCAGTGTCAAGTACAGTCCAATAATCCAAGAGGCGCCATAGCGTAATTGGAAGGGTTAAGGTGAAGGTTCGAATCCACAAGGCTCCTTTTTTGAATTTGGAGAAATAAATGCTTGCGTCAATAAAACTAGACTTTACAATTATTTCGGGGAAATTTGCTAATACGGGTATTATTAGACTAGTATGCACGTTGATGTGGATGTAAATAAATACCAGAGAGCTATCATAGACCGAGAATCGTACTCACAATACTGTGTAATAGGGTTCGGATAACTCAGCTTGGAGGACCTGAACTTCGTAAGAAGAGGTACAACATACTATTTTTTTTGAAAAATAGCTGAGAGCCATTTCCCATAAGGGTTGAACATTAAATAGTGAACATGAAAACAAAATAAATTTTCTAGTGCCAATATATTGACATTTTCGAAAACACCCCATCGGTGCCAAATGACAGGCGCGTATTTACCCTAGGGCCAACAGGGCCATGGCTGAGATGGGGCGGCTCAAAGTACCTCAATCAAAAGCTTTTGATTTTTCCCATGCCTTTATTAGGCGGCAAACATTGTGGACCCAGGCTGCTGGATCGTAAAGGCGGTAAAGCCAGAAGATCTGATTGTGCTGACAGTTTCAACTTGGCGGAAAGTTGCACTTATACTTTACATTAAAGACACCTCCTACAAATTTCTGTTCGTGCTCAGAAGGTATTATCACTTAAATTGATTCGAGTTACAGCCGAACAATTTATGTCACAATTGACCTTCAAAACACTGATCCATACAGTATAATTAAACGTTCCCAAATAGAGACGTTCAATAGCGGCTGAAATATGATCGCGTGTACCTATCTTCATTAGCAAAAGTAATTGTATATTTTCATTTGAATTTGTCTCACGAACTGACATACAAATAAGGAGACTTGCGACTGCTTGCAGAATACGTCTTGTAAACAACCTGCCTTCATTTGTTAACCAGCAGACGTGGGAATGAGAAATTCGAATTCAGAGTGCAGAAACTACAGTTAGTAAGAAGTATTTGTTGTAAGTAGGTATTCATATTCTTTTGGTTAGACCGACGACATATCACTTGTATGTTTTGCTCTATACTAGATTATATCAGGCGCACAATACCTTAGTTTAAAATCTGTTACTTCAGCCGACATTTTAATTTTTTCGAGGAGTGAAGATTTATGATGGTTGGGTTTATCTATGAATTGGGTTCTAATTTATGTATATCTGGTTCATACGATCTTTGCCCGTATATTTTATCCAGATACTTAGATTGCACGATGCCCGCGACTTATTCAGGGTAACCTAGATAATACGTAGTTAATCAAAAATACTATACATAGTATTTTAGGAAAATATTTTATTAAAAATGAAGCACCAGATGTGCTGATTTTATTTCTTTAACCACGTCATGTAGATGCCCTCCTTTCATTTCAAGCAGTAGCTTTTATCAACACGCTCATATTAGCTTGACGTGTATTATCATAATAATAATAATAATAATAATAATAATAATAATAATAATAATAATAATAATAATAATAATAATAATAATAATGTATGAAACGGAATCTATGAGCATAACTTTCACCAATTTCCAGAAGTTTGATTATTTTGAAACTTCGCTCACGTATCAAGGACCGATGAGAATGCAATATCATGACGTGTCCACAAAAAAATAATTGATAAATCGAACTAAAAATGAAAAATAAATAATAGTTTAAGAAAACTAAAAAAAAAACACGATTTTATGGTAGAAAGTAGAAAATAATTTTTAATTATTCTGTTTTCTTTTAAGTTTTATTATAATTTTTTGAGGTCATTAATTATGATTGATTGTTCCACCATCTACTACAGTAATGTAAAGTATTTGTAACTGAAAATTATTTTCTACCTTTTAGTTTGGTTAGCTATGAAAGCGTGTTTTTTTAGTTTTTTTAAACTACTCTTTATTTAACTTGGCCTTTTTGTTAGTATGATAGTACGTGTGTCTAGGACAAATCTTTGCTGCTAATTTTGAACCAGTTAACCTCAACCAATTGAGCTAAAATTTTGTACACACATTTGGTTCGCGTGACAATAAAGAATGAATCAACTGTTGCCACTTTTAATCATACAACATGGCTGATGCTTCAAAATGACGATTCATCATTTTCATAGTAAATCCTATTCTATGGGTATGAAATGAAAGGGCTTGATGAGAGAAACACGAGAACCAAACTGAGCCTCGTCGCAGGCTGGTCTGTATTCTGCGTTTTACTTCCTATACAAAAACTGGCAAAAAATATTGAAATCTGAAAATTTTCGGAACTGAGATATGCTTTTTGGATGCTATATGACAGGTACATCACGAAAAACCGTGAGAAGAACTGCTTTTTATGTACATATATTTTTCTGAATTTTATGATCCTTAAACGTGCTACTGATTTCGCATAACGTTGAATTTGTGTTACTCCGTCTATGATGACTCTGTGAATACTCCGTCAAGTAGATTGACTCGGCACTTATGATGCATTGATATACAACAGACACGGATTGATAAACCGACATAAATGAGAAACACGGACTTGTGTGATGCAGATATCTTTAAGCAACGGAAAACTTGTGAACCGAAGTTCGAATAATATTGCGAGTCTATTACTTCCATCGTTTCGGTAATCATAGATTTTGAAGACTGATTCATAGGCGGAGGAATAAAATCGCTGGAACATAGTGTTACAACGTTTACAGATTCCTGCTCATTGTTAGACACTGTTTGGAGGGGATAAAAATTATAGGTCATAGTTGTTGCATATTTGGTGTCAGTTTATTATTAAAAAGCTGCTGATCTCAACGACACTATGTACCTGTTAGGCATAATAAGTAACACATATTTTCTCTACAGCTGCCATGGAAACAAAAATATGATAGATTTGCATTGTATAGTTCGATGTGCAGTGGTTGAAGATTCATTGCACCTAAGTGAACCTACCTAATCGCGATTTCATGTTGCCTCTTTGAAACGATTTGACTCACCTTTGACACCTCCAACGAAGGCGTAGGAAGTGTAGTGTCACTCCACTGGATGCCATTTTTTCATTGAACACAAGAGCATCAACCTATATCTCCAAATAGGTATGAAAAAGTATTAGGATGATTTATGAGGAAGCAACACTGAGAAAAGTCTGCTCCTATATTACACATATCAAAGACCATTTATGGAAAAGGACTCAGCTAGTTTGCTCAACTGGCAAAATTTTTGACTTTTAATCAAACATTCAACCGTATTAATCTTGCATAGAAAAACAGTCTGTGGGAAGCGTATAGCAATAAATGAATATCTAACATATAAAATGACGGCTTCAGAAACGTTAATTGGACTTTGTATGAGATACCTCCAGTCATACCATAACACGCTTTCAATGAAAATTAAAATAAATACTGGCTGGTTCAAATGCAGCTTTAATGTTCGTTTTCTATTTTCCGATAAAGTCAGTGTGCGTGTGCAATGTGTATATGTAGGTAATGTATACTTTAGTTATGTTTAATTGTCTGTAATGTCGTTAATACCATCCTTGCTGCGGACATGTTGGAGTATAGGTGGGCTAACACGGGCTTTTACTCTTATCCCAGAATTCTTGAGACTATAATTAAGTCCTGCGATTCTTGCAAACTGAATGAATCATTTACGCATAATTAGAAAATGGCTTCAAGTAGATTGACCCTGTACTTCTTAGTTTGAAAAGAAATCGGAATTAGGGACTTTGGATATGCGACATGTATCTGACTCAAATTTTATACGCCCTGGTATCTTTACTATCAGACGATTATGAAAGCTCTTAAATCTAGACACAGAGGTAGTGTAGTAGATTGAATAAGTGTAGAAAATGTATTGTTGAATTTTTTTAAATAATCTGTTTTCAGTATACGTGATGAATTTTTTTACGCCTGTATAACTGCATGCGGTAATGTGAGATTACGTGAGGAATAAGGACTAAAAATAGATGAGATAATGCATTCTTCAAATTTTCTCCATCTCAACTCGCTAGGGGTGGAGATATATTCAGTAAGTCACATCTGATAACTACTGCTCTAACGTTGTCACCTAACCTGATTATTTATATTTAATACATTGTATTGCGCTTATGGTAGCGATTCTGTTATGAATTCGCATAGTTGACGACGCTACGTCATCCACGACTAAAATACCTTCTCGACAATTGAGATGGAAAGTAAAATGAAACGCAGGCTTCTGGAAAAATCAATCTCCGCGGTTGGTCTTTGTCTGCCCTGTGCTTAGCAAACGTATTTGTACCCATTTGTAACAGCATCATCTACAGTCATCATGCAATTTAGTATTAAACTTTATTTTGTATTGATCACGTCGCAACTAATACGTTTGGCTCATATTATATAGTCAATCAATAACTATAAGCATGTTACTTACATTCTATTTTCTTATCGTCCTTTGAAGTACACTTGCGGTAGTACGGTTTTTATACCATGTTAATTGGGACCGACTGCTACACTTGCGTAGACGCAGGATATTCTAACAAAAACGGAAAATAGCTTCATGGAAAAACTATAATGGCTTAGAGAAACTTGTGATACATGGTGTGGACGCTAGGGCCAGATGGCATAAATCAACCAATAAATCGACTCAATTAGTTAGTAGTCCCCGCCTCACCTGTCAAGCTGCATCTCAACCTCCACTCGGCCTGTGAAGTTTGTCCCCACAACCGACAGACAAAAACCGCCAGACGAAAAGACCGGTAATCAAACGGAAGATTTAGCGTCGGAAGTGAGCTACATAGTTTCTTGTGATACACATGTCACGTAATATCAAGAAAACATAATATCAGTTTTTCGCGATTGCAATACTTCCTCGCCAATTGGACTGAGAAGTAAAATACAAGAAACAAGATTTCCTAAGTAGGCCTTGCATTGGTCATTTGCTTCATATCATCAACCAAGCATTTCTTATGTTTTTGCATGTAAACAATACGTACTTCAAATTTTGATGGCAGCACGATATGTGTTGGTATTATAAAAGCTCAAATGTCTATGACAGCAATCTTCCTACAGGTGGTCAAAACTCATCAAATGAATAATAACTTAAGGTTATCTTATTCATATTATTTATCGGTAATAATGAAAATTATGTAAACTCCTAGGCATATTTTTCAACAAGTAACAGCTTCGACGATGTTGCAGGCTGGCATGCAAAAAATTACGCTTGCTATAATCAATAAATGGATAGATTATTTAACTGTTATTTGGAATCGCTTCTCACAAACTAAAGGAGTATTTAATTGGTACGTAATCAAATAAACATATGACAAGTTGTGATTATATGTAGATAAAAATATACAGGGAAAACCAAATTTGTTTGAAGGCTTGAGCTCAACGTGTATGAGAGAGACGCGTGTATCAACACGTGTTTGAAAGAGATAGGAGCCGGCTGAAGAGCGAAGGTCATCACCACATGGCCTATCAATTGTAGAGCAGAAAGTCGTGCAACTTGCTGTGTTGCGAATATGTTACACCAGAAACTGTTCGCACTGGCTTCTATAACAAGTTAGGTTACTGTCAAACCCCTGTTCGAACATTTAATTTGTTTTTTTTTTCATTTTGATCAGAATTATTTATTTCAATTTTGATGCGACTTAGTGTTTTGATTTATTCCGATGATGATAAAATCAACACATGCCGAGTTATTGCTACATTTTGTGACAGCGAGCGATCACTGCCTATGTGTACGCAGGTGGAAACCATTTAGAAGCAGGATGATACTCCCCAATGAGCGCTAGATAGGTACTGACCAAAATCGCTCATGTATGATCATGGAGGTGGAAACCTTGCCTTGGAATGTACGAGATGCGGTCTTGCCTAGCGAACCAATGATGTAATGTTGCAGAATTTGTGGCGATCCTGATCTTTCATTTCAACCTAAGATGAAGAGCCGATAGAACGGATCGGGAATCGTCCCTGACAGGTTCGACACAATTCACAATTCAAAAATCTGTACGCCTAAAGTAAAACCATTATTTGGGCATAGAATATAAGCTGGCGCATATTTTCAACATGCATCTTAATTCAGGGACTGGTGTAACATACTGGCAACGCGGTAGATTACCGCGTCAGCGTTGCTAGGCTACGCGGAGGTAAGTTTCGCTATCCACTTCTCTCTTATTGCACTCAGGCCGTAATTTTTTGAAACTAAATTAAAAGCCATACTCAGCCAGAGTTCAATATGACGTCTACTTATAGGAAAGAATAAAGTTGACAATGGAGGACAGGAAACGGAATGTCACGTTGAAGTTCAAATTATATTACCTAGTAGGAAAATAGTTTGATTGTTAATGTGCATCTGACCTTAAATATAGTCACTAGAAAATAAAAATAATTTTAAGATCATTCGGTTTTTCCATCTCTCCAGAAATACTCTCAATCGCGAAACTTTGTAAGTGCCAATTTCTCAGTCACCTCAATGCGCAAATTTGCCTTCATTCAAATGGTTCCGAATCTCTTACCGTTTCCGAGATCCCAATGACAAGACTCGAATCTGACATACCCGACATACAACTAAATGATTCTGCACGGATATCAATTTGCGAAAACTATATTCCAATGTCTTAATCAGTTTTTCCATAAAACAACTTTTTATTGTAATTGGGACGCGCTGTAGAGTGTTCTACATTCACGACAAAAGCTTTGATTCAAGTGGCATACGAGCTGCATACTGGTTTTGTGGAGTCGGGTCCTACCAAAACTAGATTCTTTCTAATCTTAAACGGTTGCATTTATCTTGGATTTAAGCTGATCTTTCATGTCTAGGTTTTAGGTGAATCTACAATGGGTGTTCTATGGAGTATGCTAGGCTACAAGTGCGCCGAATTGAGGGACGACGATCCAGATCCAGTAACTACCCTGACTTCAAAAGATAAATTTATTATCCGGTCATCCTGGGCTAGAATAATGAAGAACCCCATTGAAAATGGAACAGCGATATTAACTTTGTAAGTTGGTAGTTGATGTCAACATGGTTAGAAGTTTAGCAAAGCGATGATTACGATTTTTGTTCAACCCAAATATCTTCCATGGCAGTGAGGACGATTAATGTTACTTTTTTCTGTATTTATTCAAGTTATGTATAGTGGTTCTAATCCTAATTGAAACAGCAAAATATGTCACAGAGATCCAAAAAGTGTGTAATCTCATACAGATAAAAGATAGGAATTGTTGAATCGCTTATCATGGTTCAACATAAAAGACTCTATGGTGGCCAAACCGTATCGCGACAAGGACTATAGTAATCACGTGGAACAATTAAATGTATTGGCACTGGTACATCTCTTTACTTATACAGGAGTCCTCGGTAACATTTTATATTGTTTCCTGATGATCAATAATTCAATTGTTTTAATTAATGTAATGACTTTTTTGCATGAAAGCATTTTCGAGTTTTTCAATCTCATTTCATTCTTCACAAAAACTATATTCCACCCATCGCACCACACCGTGAAGAATCGCCGACAAAGACAAAATCATCTGAATACTTCTGCATCTCACAGGTACACTACGCTTGCACACTCCATGCATTAATACCACACTGCTTACGGTTCCGGTTTTCTGGCTGTTTCAATTAGGATATCTACTATACCTTGCCAGGACCGCCAACATTTCGTATTAGTCTCATGGATGACGTATTTCATCTGTTCTTCCCGGGTCATGCTTGGCACTGTATGCTTCACTTCACTGCAATCTTGATTCAGTGCCCATTTAGTAAAGATTCTCCCTTCTCTGTTTTATCGAAAATAAATGTTTATACACCATTTCAGAAAGTATAGTAACTTAATTTTCATATATTCAAAATAAAATAGATCTGTTGATGCATCCCTGGGGACAACGAAATTCAGAATTAAAGGCGATCAGATTTCTCCTGTTTCGTAATTGTCAGAGCAATAATATGCTTTTTATAAATATGTAGGTATCACGAACATTCACGTCTCTGATTTCAGTCTGTCCATTGTCTAACTACGTTAATCTGTAAGTCTCTCCGTCTGTCTAGCGTTTTCGCAACTTAGAACGTGATATATACACACAACTATATACAGGGCGAATTTTAACTGTGTAATCGGTCGATAGTTCCGTTATTATACCCAGATATCTAAAAAAGTTATACAATCCCCAACCCCCAATTTTTAAACCTCACAAAATTACTCTGGAAATAATCCGGGCTCCTCTGAAACGACAAAGAGCAAAGTTTGAGCGATTTTTATTTGCTTTGTTCATTTCCCAAGCCCGATTTACAAAGAATACAAAGTCTCTTCATCCTTAGTAATAGTAGTAATATTTTGTGTAGAGATGTCGCCAAATACGAGCGGTACTTTCCAAGTTTACAGATGGGCCAAGGATTAATGGAAAGACCGACCGACAGAGACCGAATGAAATGAATGACATGGTTTTTCGAAATGCACATGTCCTATCGTATCATAGAAACATTTTTGCACCTTGTGGATAATGCTTTAGTGACGGAATTATTAGTAGGTATAACAAAAAACAATTGAAATATGTATAACTCCAAACACAGATATTTTATTAAAAATGTTCCCCAACCTTACGATTATAAATCTTGTCAGGCTTTTGAGATGTCGGCTTAGAAGACTTTTTTTGTTTTTCTTTTCATCCATGTAGAATAACCTTAGGGTCTAGTGCCTAGATGTGTAGTCTGTAAATATAATGTTAGAGAATGCTGCGAAAAAAAGTTACAGGCAGATTCAGCATCTAAGAATATGAAGAAAGATACACAGGGTAACCAAAATGGAACATCATACACAGGACTGCATTTTAAGGGGGGTATTCTATGTAATATTTTGTCCTCTATTGCTTCATTAAAAAGATACGGGGTGTTGAAGTTAAGAAATAAAAATCATACTTTTTAAATATCTTCAAAACCGTCAACTGGGATGAACTAAAATTTGGCATGTGGATTTACCTAAGTATTGTCCACATTCAAGAATCTTTACTTAAAACTAACGTGCACCAGTGGCGGAGATACAGGGGATTAGTGGCATTATTTTTTTCAAATAAAAATAGTACACCACTATTTTTTTTCTAACGCAATTTTATGAACTTTGCCTTCAGTGTGATAGAAATAATTACTCTTGTGCTTTTTTCCTAGAGTGCACAGTTTTCGTAGAAATAAAAATAAAACAAATTAGATCATTCATGGAGCCGAGACACAACTAGTTTCAAAATAAAATAGGAAGCCTTGATACCAACTAGACGTCTCTTGAGAGATAGTTTGTCAAAGTCATGTGTTATACGGTTTCTCTGGTTACTACTACCATTTTTTTTTTAAATTCATCAGTTTTTTTTCCATTTTTGAGTGAAATGGAATTTATCGACGATGGGTACGCCGATATTATTTTTGTGTACGGGTTCTGTAATGGAAATACTTCAGCGGCTCCCCGGGAGTATCAACGTAGATTTCCTAACAGACGCCAACCTACCCCAAATATTTTTACGCCTTCATATATATCAACTTCGGCAATATGGAATTGCCAAATTTCCCGGAGTTAGAGGGCATGGTGTCCGGCATACTGTTCAAGAGGGACTGGAAGTGATTTGTTTCTCGTCGGATGATCCTAATACAAGTACTAGGCGTATTGCAGCACAGTTACCATGTTCCCAAAGTCTTGCGTGGGGAATTTTAAATCGGGTTTTACATCCTTACCATCGGCAAATTGTGCAATGTCTGCAACCCGGCGACAAATTGCAACAGCGAAATTTTTGTGAGTGGTTACTGCAGAGGCGTAATCTTTATGCAGGTTTTATTGAGTTGGTTTTTTGGTCAGGTAAATCGCTTTTTTACCAGGAGTTGAACATTTAATTCTCATAATGAACATACGTGGTCGTTAGAAAATCCCCGTTCTGTAAGAATCTACTCGTTTCAATACAGATTTTCTAGAAATGTCGGGTGTGGCATATTCAATGGCCAACTGTTTAAGCACGTATTGCCACAATGCAAACTCATACGTATCTTTTCTAGAGAATTACTTAGAAAATGTGTTAGATTACGTTCCGTTAGGAACGAGAGTACGAATGTGGTATCAGCATGACGGTGCCCCACCACATGTTCGTCGTGACATAACCGCATGGTTGAATAATCATTTTAGACAACGATGGATTGGCAGTAACGGACCCATACATTGGCCTGCGAGGGCTCCTGATATGAACTCCCTGGATTTCTTTTTGTTAGGCGCTTTCAAACAACTACTATATGCTGAACAAATTAATACTGCGGATCAGTTACAAGAAAGAATAGATAATGGGTTTCGTCAAACTCAAGCCACAACAAATGTTGCGGAAATACGTTTTTCTTTATTAAAAAGATGCATGTATTGAAACAAAGCTTTCATTATCTAACTTGTTTATTTTTTATTTTTTTACAATCCACTCTAGAAAGAAAACACAAGGGTAATTATCTGTAACAAATTGAAGGTTAAATTAGGAAACTTGCGCATTTCGAAAAAAAAATTAGTGTATCTCCACCACTGGTGCACGTTAATTGTAAGTAAAGACCTTTGAATGTAGACAATGCTTAGGTAAATCTTCATACTCAGTTTTAGTTCATTCCAGTTGACGGTATTGAAGATATTAAACAAATCTGTTTTTTATTTTTAAACTTCAGCATCCCGTATGTTTGTAATGAAACCCTCGAGGAAAAAATGTTACATCGAAGACCCCCCTTAAAATGCGGTCCTGTGTATGATGTTTCATTTTTGGTCACGCCTTGTGAATCACCCTGTATATCACTGCGGTGGTTGAGTCTGCATCCTTTGATGGTTAGCGACGACAATGGCAGAATGGACTTCGTCTTGTGCAGTCTATATGAGTTGTTCGAGTGTGAGGTTTGTACAGAGCCTGATATTCCTGAGCCGTGAGTTTTTCTTCCGAGACCTCGCTTTCCCTCAATTTTGTCTTCAATAACTGGTTGTGGCAGTTAGTATTCCTCGTTCTGTAATATGTGCCTTAAATAAGCCGTTTTTCGCGTTTTGATCATGTGGAGGAGTTCCCAATCTGCGTCTCCTTAGCATTTATAGTATGTGATTGAATTTTTAGGATTCTCCGATATAACCACATCTCAGAAGGTTTATTCCTTTTATCGATTTTCAGTGTCCATGCTTCTGACCCTTAACGCAATAGGAACCATATTACATTTATTTAAGACACATTAAGGATTTGACAAATGCAAATGCTTCATTTCACACATTTCGGGGCCTTCTGAAAGAAGAAAAAATTAATGTCACTTTCTTAGAACGTGTATTAACAGGTATAACTAGAAAACATAATAAGAAATGCCGAAGTCCATCTTTTCTCGTTCATTCTTACACCACATTCGGCCAAGTTACCTCAAAAAAAAGAAAAATTAAAATTTCGTGACGACGATGCCACGGACAAATATACGAATGCACGTTAATTCAAACCTTCGACACCCAGTTGTTGTAGTTTGAGGTTAAGCGACTCTTTGACTTTTTCGTTAGGAATAACAATATTTTACCAGTGACCTAATACTATACCGCCCTGACAATTATGGCTTCAATGTTTATCGTTTTTGTACCAGATTTGCACACTCATCAGCAACACAAATGGGAGTAAATTTCTAAAAGCTTATTGTTTATTTCCGTCTTATGACGTAAGAGTTATTTATTATCTTATTCCCTAAGAGATTGATTCAGTCCTCCCTACTTTAAAAATATAGTAATTTAGAAGGAAAAACTATTTCTGGGTGAATTAGCTGTCTGTAATACTGTTACTCTGCTATCAGCTGACAGACATCCTCGTTATTAAGACAAATCGTTTTATATAGCTCTTAGTAAACAAGATAATCAATTTCAGGTTCTTCGAGGACTATCCGCAACACAAACAGTTATTTCCATTCAGAGACGTACCAAATAAAGAGTTAGGACAAAACAAGCGATTTCAAGCCCACTGCAGCGCTATTATGTACTCCTTGACCTCTGTCGTTGATGTAGTGGATAAACCAGATCTGTTGGTAACCATTTTGATGAAAATTGGACGTGATCATGTACCAAGAGGAGTTAATGAACAAGGACACCTGGTAAGGATTTGTGTGTATGGCATAAAATTGTTAGAGATAAAAATATTCTCAAGTCACTTGTCAAATAAGTAATGTAATCGCGAAAAACTTCGAATTCGAGATATTATATCATCTTGGATGTTACATCATATGTACCATATATTATACTGAAAGTCCATGACACAAAACACTAGGGGATCTGCTCCCGGGTATGGTTGCACGGCCATCAAGGAAATAAAGCGCTTGTCGGGTTACAGTTCCCAGCGGTCGACTGGTGGGTCAACATGGACCCCTCCCCTCAAAAAAAAAAGACGAACACGTCGCTCATATGTTAGAACCATTTTTGTGGCTAATAATAGAGATGAGCCTGCCAACAGCAAAGTATGTCCGGTAGGCTGACTAACGCTCCCCCTTTTCACATTCCCACCGCGTTACAGTTCACCTCACCATATGAGAAGGAAAAAACAAGCGTGGGCGAATATCATTTCTTCTTGCATACTGCGCTGGATTGGCAGAAGGTTGACGGCTAATTGTTTATCAGGAATAATATGCTAGAAGGCAAAGAAAAAACAAGCAAAACATTAGACCATCAATTCTTTTGCATACTGCCCTGGGTTGGCAAGCGGTTAGTGCCCAGTTGAGAACGGGAACCAAAGAAAGGAAACGGTTGGCGAGCCGTGGTTCCCAGGGGTAGACTGTGGGTCAATATGGACCCCCCAAATAGACGGTCCTGTCACTTATCTACTAGAACCATTTTTTTGGGTGGAAGGGATGATACTGATGGAATAAATGTTTCCCACTCACAGGTAGGTGTACAGTGGATGCACGCGCATCAAGGAAAAGCGTTTGGTGGGTTGTGGATCGCTCATATCCTAGAAGCATTTTTGGGGGTAGTGATAGAGACGGGCCTGCCAATGTCAAAGCATGCCCGGTTGACTGACTCTTTTTACCGTTGCCTCCCGCTTTCCGGTTGCCGCCCTCTTCCCCAGATGGGAAATCGTTTGCACATGTTTGAAGGACAGAAACAAGCGTAAATAATAGATAATCAGTTTTTATTGCATACTGTGCTGGGCTAGCGAAGGGTTAGCATCCAGTTGTTTAAAAAATATTTACAGGAGAGCCGGTCACTAACCCTAGGGTATCTGTTAAAAGAAAGGTTTTCATTGCCAGATATGCTGGGTGTACAGGTATCAAACAAATTAAGCGGTTGGCGAGTTGCGGTTCTCAGGGTCCGACTGGTGGGTCACTATAGACTGGAAGCATTTTTTTGGGATAATATTATAAGGGCTTTTATACTTTGCTGCCATTTTTCATAGTTTTCACAATCTGCTTATATGATTCTTCCAAAGAAAAGGAGAATTTAATTGTATTGCGATATAATTTGTCCAAATTCAAATCCAAATCTTTTGAACATCTAATGATTCAATTTAACAATTATATAGTTACATTTGATAATTACTATCACCAAAAATATTTATATAAATAAACTAAGATCAGCATATTTTTTATATGTTAGGTTTAAGGACGAATATTTTTCAAAATTATTATTTCGAAGCAAAAGCAATTATTTATAACAATACATAAATACTCATTCACGGATAATATAATTATTGCATAAAATAATAAATAGGCAAACAATAGGTTATAAAGTCTAAAAAGACTGGATTTATATCACACAAAGAATAAAAACACCGTAGTTTGACAGGTACTGCTTTTTTACTTTGATAAATTGATTTACTGCTTTTATGCCTAGGAAATGTAATCAATATGAAATATTTGTCAACACGAAAAAGTAACTATTTTTGTCGAATATCGTGATCAATAATATATTTTTTAATTGTAATCATGAAAGAAATGTATTAGCATCAAAACCTAAAGAAACAGTAGGTGAACTATCGTTTAGCTAAGTACGGCAGTACACCCACCTAGCCCTGGTAATTAAACGCACCTAGACATATCCCACATATAGATTTCCACCCATATTTGCCATTAAAGAACGTCTCACATCGAATGCAATGAAAATTGAATATGAACCTGTAGCATCAAAGCCGCTGAGGATTGTGGTTTACTCATCGCAATTTGAACGCATCATTTGTTATAAATGTTCGTAGTTATTTTTTTCCTGGATCAACGTCGCTGTTTTAAATCTCCACACATATCTACACTTGGGTCTTGATTTTAACTACATTTTGACCCTTATCCGACACATATTCATATCACTATGTATGTATGACGGCAAGGTGACCTCAAAGTTATTTAGTTTTCATTAGAAAACAAAAAACTTAAAATTCATGTCTTGTGTTTTCTGCTTATTACTAGAGCGTCAATGAATTAGCATTAGCATCTGCGGTACCACAATATACTGTGCAGGTGTTTCTGAAATTACGTAGTTCAATAACACACAGGTACACAAAAGCAACAAACATGCAAACAACAATTATATTTTTTATAAAAATACAAAGAACCCCACTGCAGTAACTGAAAGGAATGAATACTTAATTTTGATATTAAGACAAGGCTAGGGACACCTCAGATGTCGAATTTCATCAGCTTGAGCTGTAGCCGCTGAAATAGAAATTTCAAAGTTGAAGTGTAAAATCCGTCATTTTGATTTTATTAAATGTCAATATAGCCAGTGTTAGTCACACTATCAAGTCAAAGCATAGTCCTCCTTCCCAGACATTTGGGTGACGAAACCATCTTCGAACGATGTATTGTCATTTAATGACACCATACGTATGTCCCCATTTGAGATGGAACATGCATATTTCTTATATATTGAAGAAAGTCACATTCATAGCATATAAAATAAAATTCCTAACTGGTATATTAATTGAATGTTATCAACGAATAATATACCAAATATACCAAACTTTAGTCGGGCCACACATAACATATGGTACCGTGGTATGGGGTGCTTGCTGCATGCACGGCATATCTTAAAGAACAATTTTGAAATCAATCTTAGGCAAATCAAAATTATACCTAACTGATGACTTGTATCATGATGCAAAACTATATGATACTAGACAATTTACTCCTTACATACCATCACCCATTATGACAAAATTATTAGTGAACGCGACACAATTGAAGATAGTCACAACGCCAGATATAAATTACGTGTAAAGAATGTTCCTAAACCAAACAAATTTGTAACGAAACGATCTCACCTTTTTCATCCAAAACTGTATGAACATTTACCAAAGAATTTAAAACAAGTACGTAATATATTAAGTTTCAAAAACAATTAAAAAATTGACACGCTTGAGAGAACCAACATTCATAGGATGATCTCAAATATTACTTAGTAAATACTGACAAATAATTATGTTTTTCATCTCTGTTCTTTCACTTTTATCCATTGCAATTCGACATATTGATTGCACAGGTAATGTCCTTCTATGGATAAATTATATTTATTTACTAATTTCATCTTACCTGTATTTATAAAGTAAATAAAAATATTATTATATATAAATATTATACCAGACAAACGCTCACAGACTGTGATTTAACTTTTGAATCAGGTGAATATTATCTTATACTATCGTACCAATGTGAAGGGCTTATTGCTACGCAAATATTGATTTTGGCATCCGTAGGCTAGTTTGGCTAAGGATGCTTGTTACGTCGCCATGGCGCCCCACTGGAGAAGTCCTCTTGTTCACAGATAGGATTTTCAAGTGTTAGGTCCCCTTTTTCCCCCTACCAACTACTTTACGCCCTAGGGCACTAAATCAAGTTCTCCCGTGTGCAGTCTGTAGATTGAAAATATGCTCAGATCGGGCGGGAACAGCTCGTACTGTTTACTGTTAGGCACCTGGTAATATACACTAGTAGTACCTATTTACTTTTGCTTTTGTCCGAAACTTATTCTATGTTTTTGACATGTACAATATGCTAGATTTTCACAATTTCTGTAACGATGCCTCGCTGTGACATTTAAAAAATAACGATGATGTTTTACTTTATTTTTGTGTGCAAATGGCAAAAATACAAACGGACATAAGAGTAAATTATGAATACAATGTAATTCATTACAAACATACATTGTCTACGCATTGTCTACAACACTCAACGTGTTTTGAATTCAGTTCCTTTTAGCGTTGTGTATGTGGTAAATATGTGCGTACCCTTCTGTCCCATTAATCCATTAATCGGCCTGGCTTAAAACTGATTTCTTTCACTTAACTTTAAACTGACGTGATTAAAAGTCATATAGTTTAAAGATCAAGTCAGTCCGTTTCCTGCCGTAAGAAGTACCAAGCCAATCTACTTGACTCCACCTCCTTAGCAGGAATCACTGTTACAAAGTTTATAAGCTATGCAGTACGGTTGTATTTTCTAGTAAAGTATCATTTTCATAAAACGGACTGCATTGCAGACTACAGAGCAACGTTTGGGTGTACTGAATTGATTTAAAATCATTGAGTTAATTTTAGGTGTCAGCACAGCACCCAAATCCTTTGAATAGCAAAAATTTAATTCCTAGACATCCTGTACTCGACAGTGAGGGAGTAGAATCGATGAGGTAAGATAGGCATAGTTTTCTTCCCAGTTGAATGATATCAAATTCTGACAGCTGCTGACATTCATCAAACAAGATTGTGAGTGCATTCATTTTCGGTGAGGTAATTCCTTCCTGGCATCTCATATCCTTAAAATATGAGACGAGACTTCCATACTCCTTCGCCTGTCAATGGTTCAGGGAACGACTATTCTATCAACGTTCAGGAATAAAGTTCCCGGCACGGGTATTACGTATCTTGAAAGGTGACATCATGTGACGTTTTTTTACACTTCGTAGGCTTTTTGTAACATAACGTACGAGATGTTAACTTAGCACAAGCAGTTGTACATTAGTTGTGAATGCGTTTTGTGGCTGTACTTGTTGCTTAAACGTCAGCAAACACCGATCATAGCGAGCAAACGTGGAATAAACCATTGGCACACTACAAACTACCTAGTCTGCAAGATGACAGTTCGTCGGTTTCTTTGACGTTTTTTAGGTTTTATACATGATACCCCTGCCGAAGAGTAAGGGTCGTTCCTACAATATTGTAGGACGCCTTTATGGCCTCCTTGATTTTCATAGCCTTCTACTGTTCTATGTCAGCGCTCTATTTTGAGGTTAAGTCACAAATATGCATCAAATTCTTCATGCTTCTGATTTATATCATCTGTTTCATCCGCCTGAAATTTCCTACAATTTGTAAAGAAACCATAACTTGACAATAGGAGAGCGCTGACGCTGTCACAGAACAGTAGAAATCTAAAATTACGCCAGCCTTTCAGAAGGAGAGAAAATCAAGGAGGACATAAAGGTGTCCTACAACTGTAGGAATGACTGACGATACAGCTCTAAGACAACCACGCCCACTCTCCCTCATTTATTCTACTTCCTCATTTTAAGAATTAGCCCTCAGGTGTTCAAACTAAAAACACTGCTAGAACCCTTTTCGTGTTTGTCCCATGTTCCATAAACTGAACTGCAGTATACCATGCTAATACACTCTTACTTCTTTCAGGAGTTGAAAACAACGATAGTCAAGGTGTTTAAAACGTTAATGAGTGAAGAAGAGATGAAATCTTGGACAAAAGCTGTAAATGTTATATTTGACGTGATACTGAAAGGTGCAGGGGAAATCAAGGAATAAGCTGGATAGTTTTTTCAACGTACTTAAATAATATAATTAACGTATTATCTACCTTTTTACTTTTTACTCCTGGGACTTTGTTTCTTAAGTTTTTATAGGGTCGACTAATAAAGTGATATTAACGTTATAAACTGAATTTGTTGCTCCCTATATTCAAGCGGTTGCCCCACTTTTCTCATTATTAAGGCCAGTGGTCCTTAGGAGAAGCCAACTGAGCAGTGAGTAACCGGAAACTCAGCCATGTTGGATCGGACGGCAAAAACGAGGGTAAACGTAAACGTAAATGCCTACTGAAGCGAAGAGAGATGAGGAATCCGTATGACTCATTATACACCGAGAAAACGTAGCCAATTCGGAAATTTTGATTTTGACTCGAAATTATCAGGTAAAAATATCATGTTTTCCAAACCTTGTGATAACCTAGATTTGTCAGAGCACAGTTATTGTATACATCATTTAGTGAAATGCAGTTTGTTCTTTTAAACTCCAAGTACTCGTATTATCTAAATATACCTTCAAATTTGAATAAACTAGTTCATTAGAACTAGTGATATACTTTTACAAAAACTAATTAAATGATCTTAATGATAATAATGAAATTGTATTACTTAGAGCTGGCAAACCCGTTTTAAGGGTTCAGATATTTTAAATAAATTGGTGTATTCACTCTACTCGTAAGTAAGTGGTTTGATAAATTTAATAGAACGATTGCATTTTGGTTCAATTGAACCAGTTTCATAGATTCAAGTAAACTGCTTTAGAAATCTGAGGTTAAACTTGCTAGCTGTTTGATTGGTTTAAAAGAAAATTGATTGGTTCCATTAATTTTTTGTTCAGTGTATGAAATACATGCAGAGCTAAATTGTTTGTCATTGTATTTGGTACGTTCAGCTCATGTTGAACAATTTAGCATTTCGTTGGTATAAATATGAGAAAATGCGGTTTAAATATCGTAGTTGCGTACATTGAGAAAGTAACGGTAGAATTATGGTAGCTATCAATACAATTTTATTTAAGCCCAGTAATGATATTGTAAAGTACCGCACGAGTCTGTCGCGGCTTATCGATTAAAGATCTGTCTTTGCAATATTCTTGCAAAAAAATGTTACTGGGAATCCAAAATTAAATACCTTACAATGGTGTTGCTTGTCAAATATCGAGCGAATGCAGTTGCAATGGTCTTGCAGAGAAATTTTAGTATTTATCACTTCAGTTACAATCCTTTTATACATATTTTCTGTTAAAATATGTTTTATAATAACCTTGCAGTGCATTTAGAAGGTTATGCCTAGTTTCCCTTCACCGTGAGCATTTCATCATTTTCACGATGGTACCATTGCATTTCAATGCTGGAAAGTTGTGGTAAGTATATTTATGATGTTCATACAGGCTCATTTTGCAATAAGTATAAGTGATATCAATGCAACCACTTACATCCCCTTAGTACATGCTAGAATTATAAATAATATTGAAGGGTAAGTATGAAAAAGACTTCTTTCTAGATTCAACACTTTTTTCATAGCATTATCCCAGGAGTCACATCGTGGAAGAATAGCACGTCAATAAGGAAAACACCCTGGTTATTACAAAGAAGAAGGTCTGCCAATGGGATCACCGCTTTCACCTTTAGTAGCTAACGTATACATGGAGTGGCTTGAGTCAATCTTCATTAAAAGCCGTGATATCAAGCCTGCTACAAATAATTACTTTTGTGTTTCTTCCTAGAGTGCATTCCCAGCCAGCACGGTGTCGTGGAATCGACGTAGATATTTGGTGATTTTGGTCGAAGTGGAAATTTAGGGAAAATTCTACGTTTATTCGACGTCAGTTATGGGTCAAATTTCGCTTAAATTTGTCCGATATAACCACACCACGTCGATAAAACGTGAATATTACGACGTGTGTACACCTCTATACCAATTTCCACTGCTGCGAATAAAACCCGATTAATTAACGTAAACGTATTATATTGTTACAGTTTCCTCCTGTATTTCATGACCAATAAATTTTAAATATCGCGCCTTGATAGGGGAAGCGACTAATGGTAAAGGGTGCCATGGCTGCATTGCCAGATTGCACAATTTTTATCACAATCAGCGGTATTAGCTCCCAAGATTTTTACATACTTATATTTCAGATTTGGAAAGCTACAGATTATTTTCTTGTTATGATTACTTTTGCAATGATGCAATTTTTGGCGTCTATATAATGCTTTTGGCTGAAGCTGATCTTTGTGTGTCGTTCCTTTTTCCTTTGATCTATCCTTTTTTTCATAGCTATACTATTAACAATTTCCTAGAGTTCATAATAATAATAGTTGTTTTCTGATTGAGACAAGTACATTTCCTGTGGAATTTTATATAAAGCTTCTCAAACTCTATAACATTGGAAATATTGAACAAGCAGCATTAGGCAACAATGTTTTTGAACAGACATCCGATCCAATCAAAGCTATTCCCACGCTCCCCATCAAGAACCTCATGTTGTTTCTTACGTCGCGTTCCATCCTGCATCAATTTTGAATTTTGCGAAATGTGCACGTATCTTATCTTCCTGTAAATTCTAAAGTTTAAGTGTGTTGCCAAAAGCCATACTGTGTTCATGCTCATCGTTTAATCAAGAATAACGTCGTGACAGTATATATGCCTTTGTATGAGCCATAGGCATAGGAATAGAATTTTCAGATGAAATTGGTGGTGGTGCTGGGGGCGATATTGCCATAGTGCATGAAAAGTGGCTGACGCCGAGAAAGAAAGGGTGTGGTGGCCACCATATAAACAGCAAGTACGAGCAGGTACCGTATAAGCAGTATGATATCGGTGAGTGTTTTTTGCGGAAGGTAGGTATATTCTTCAAACTTTACCTATAATTAAGGGCCGAATCGCTATCTTCAGTCGTCCCAATAATTATTGTAGGACGCCTTTATGGCCTCCTTGACTTTCACAGTTTTCTACTGTTCCGTTTTACCGCTCGATTTTGAGGTTGAGTTACAAATATCTATTCGCATCAAAATGTTGATTTATATCTATTTTATCAGCCTGAAATTTCCTACGATTCAAGAAGAAAACATAACTTCACAACCCCAGCCTTTTGAAGAGGAGAAAATACTATGAAAATCAGGGAGGCCATAAAGGCATCCTTCAATTGTAAGAATGACTGACAATACGGCCCTGAAATGTATTTAGTTACTTCAAGTCTCTCTATCTCAGTCATCAAGGAACAGCATCAATTCAATTTGAATATTTTTCAAATAATGCAGCTGCTAATTAAACTGCAAAAATTCATTACCCGCAAGAGTTTTTTATTACAAAGTGGCACTTCATGTTTGTAGAACAATGAGTCTGTTCAGCGACAGTAAAGCTGTACAGCATTTTTATACTGAATAGCAGTAGCCATGGGATTTGATACATGTCTTTAGGACTTTAGTTGGTTATATGACCAAATTAGAAGAATACTATTTTCTTTTTCAGATCCTGTACTTTTACCAATAGAACAAATATAATTTTGAGGCGCCGCCTAATATTTCATAATTTGACAGTTAGCTACAATTATTTGGGAACTAGACAAGAGAAGAAGGCATTCAAAACTTCATTTCTCAACAAGGTTGTAATAGGTAAGTACTAACAGATCTTTATAGGTTTCCAAACAGTTTCAGACCTATTATTGCTTAAAAATTTTGTTTTTTGTATCTGATGTAACATGCAAGACTTGGTGTATAACTATATTCAAAAATCCTTTTTCACGTGACAGCTTTATATACTTATAGGTAAACAAGTAAAAAAATATTTACTAATAAAAAAATTAAAATATAGAATGTTCTATCAGACTATCAAACAATTTATTCTGCATTTTAGCTGTCATATTGTATTTTTCCCAAGTCAAATTATATTGATTTTAAGTTATGGTTGGATTGTATAATCTTATTTTGTAAACAGTTGATTACATCACAACTATATATTCAAATTTTGTTTCAAGGGGCTGTTCTTTCTGGCTCCAATGCTACCAAAAAAGATGTGTGAAGAAGATGCCATTAAACTGTGCACCAAAAAGATAAAAAAAAATATTCATATATCTTTTTTATCCTCATTAGTAGTAAAATGTAATATTGTGTTAACTAATAACAATATTGAACTTTGATTTTCTACTCACATTCTTTTTTTTGTTAAGCAGTATCACAAAGTGAAAGGAACTATAAGAAAGTTATTAGTGATCATCAGGCATTAGACATGTTTAAAAGGAAGTTCAACAAATATTTAATAAAATAAATGCCTCCCAGGTTGTGACTCCATCTCAAACACATTCTTGTAGAGTCAGGTAATTAAAATTTTGAAGTAACTGAGGATATTTTGAGAAGTGTGAGACATTTAGAGCAAGATTTTGACAATAGTAATAATATTGAACATATTGAACAAGATCTATGCATCACCTATGTGAGAGGTAGATTCTTCGCAGCTATGCGGCTCTAAGGACCCAAGAATACATCAATGCTTAATCTGATACTCACAAAACGATTGTTTCATTCACTAAGATCATATTCAATTAGAAAGCTAATATGCAATGAAATGTATTAAAACATATATGCAAAAGTTGTATCTATTTTCTTATTTATATATTTATATAAGTTAATATATAATCTTATCAGTATTCCGTTATTTTTAAATCTCACATACAATGTATGAGCAGATATGATGGTTTGTATTTAAAGCAATTGGTGAAATGTTGTTAACAAGACATATTTAGAACTAAAATGCTTACAACTTTTGACAAAAAATTAGAATGCTCATGTTCTTAAGAAGTTGTTATGATTATATATGTTATTTCAAATAAAATTACTATAGTATTAATCCCTCATTTTGTCTGCCCTTACAATTCGTACCACATATATGTTTAAATACTATATATTGTAAGCATTTCTTCCACCACAGTGGCCTTCTTTATTACAATAACATTTGAAGGGTTGAGTGGATGAAGGTGGTAAGTAACATTTTGGTTAAAATTTGTTCAGTATGTTTGGTGAAGGCTATATTGTCCAAAGTAGGACCAACCTGTTTTCCGGACAGAGTACTACTTCTAGGCTGCGCCAAATATACTGAACTCATTTTTGATCCGAATGTTATTTACCACCTT